CCTCATGAATAAGTTCTTGAATGAGGGGGGCTTTATTCATCACGGACCTGGCATTGCACAGCATCAGCCGATGGTCCCGGGCCTGAGGATCTGAGGTCCCTGGAGGTCGAGTAGAGCCCTGAGGATCGGAGCATCCACAAGCTTGTAAGCAGCGTGTGCGTGCTCCCAAAACCCGATATGGTCCTCTGCTCCCGCCATAATCCATAGTTCAATAACAAGCTCTTTCATACATATGTCAATTTACATCATCAATTTACATCATCTCTGTTTCCCTTGGTTATTATATCACATTCAAATTAATACATTGCTAGTTATAACTCAATCAACTGAAACATTTATCAATATCTTTTGACTTATATGCCTCCATGTCCTGTTTTTAACTTTTATCTGATTTCAGTTACAGTACTCCAGTTGGCCTAATGTCCATAGTATTTAGGTTTCGGATAGCCCACGGTTCCCTTAGTTCATTACAAAATAGTTACAATATCTAAAATACACATTATTTATTCAGATAAATTTTTACTTTATTTCACAATCATATTCTACTTCTCATTCTAATATCATCAGTTACTAATAAAATAATCTTTATCATCTGAATCCTAATTTATTTCCCTTGTAGGTCTAAATTCTAAATATTAAATCAATTAATGTCTTTTAAAATCTCCTTAGCCCATTAAGTGAAATTTTAGGCTCTTCCATTAAAGGTGACATAAAGAAAACCATTTTTTAAGTCTAACTCTGGCCTTATTTTGTGCCAAACAGGCTTCCACAGCAGAGTCTTTAAATCTTGCATATATCATTTGAATCAAGGGAGACCACACAGTTATCAACTTGTCAAGGAAGCTAGTCTCTTCATAGTCATTAGATTGTTGGCCTGATAGTTTGGGTCTCCATATTTGGCTTAATATATTTGTCGTAAGTTCAGGCTAGTCTTCTTTTTCTTCTTCTGGTTTCAGCTGGTTTAAATAAAAAGTCATACTCAATGTTGTAGCTGTTATTTGGTTGTGTGAATTATCTAAATTCTCAGTGTATTGTGTATGTAAGTCTTCAGCACCTTCCGCCTTAGTGTTGCTTTCTTCAGTTTCTGTTGCTGTTAGAATTGCAGATTTTTTTAGATGAAATCAAGGTGTGGGTATCAGGGTTCTGAGTAGGTTGTAGCTGGTATTCTTTAAAGTCCACTTTAGTGTTAATTCCTTCTTTTTCTGTTGCCTTTTGAATTGTAAGTTCATCGGTTGTAGTCTGGGCTGCATTTTGTAGCTTTAAGGTGGCGCCTTTATTTTTCAGTCTGGAATTTATTAGCTCAGTAGCCTCTAGGATTTTTTCAAGTATAAGTTTGTAGTTAAGCTGTGGGTGGTATTCCTCCATTTCTGTGGTGTTTACAGATAGTCCTTTAGTGGAGGCCATTTTTTTTATTAAAACTCAATAAATGTCCACCTCCACTATAGAGAATTATTTTCACCACCCAGCTGTTTCAGTTCTTATTTTTTTTGATAATGTCAAGGACAAATCTTAGTCTCACAAGTCTCCCAGTCAGAAAAAAAATTCAGTTGCTGTACCAAATTTCGCCACAAGATTCCCCAGTAACATGTAAGATTAAGCTTTTATCCGGTTTAAAAGAGGAAGAAAGAAATATTCTTTTTTTCCAGCTTAGCAAATAGGTAAAATAATAAGTCTATGTAAGAATAATAACAATAATACCTTTTGGGAGCCCAGGTATCCAGAAATTACAAGTCCAAATATTTAGTCGTTTAGTTTAGTTGTTCTTTTTTTTTCTGCTTGGCTTTATATTCCCAGAGTAGGCAGGAGCTGCAGAATTAAAGGGGGGGAAAATATTTCCAAAGGCTTTTACAGGAAAGTAGTTGGGAAGCAGGAAACGTAAGGTCTCACCCAATTCCTCCACGTTGCTTACGTCATGCTTAATAGTACTTTTGGCTTTCGGCTGGAGCGGCTTGGTGATCGGCCATGTTAATGGCCAATCTTTTTTTCGTCGGCCCAAAGGAGCTGCCTCGGATCAAACGGAAGGACTGCCGCCCTTCCGCGATCTGTCAAGGGTCCTTCTCAGTGGTGGTCGCCCCTTCAGGGCAACTTTCAACCCTTTCCAGGGTCTTCTGATGGAGGGAAACCGGTTGGCGGAGAGAGAGTCTCCCTGCACATCCACCGGCGCCATGATTGCAAACCAGAAGCCGGGAAGTGGATTCTTTTTCATTACTAGCTGAGCACTATGTAAGACTTGTACATCCCCAAGAAAGCAAGTCTTGCATAGGAAATCTATGAATGTGTGCTTGGTATATGAATATCTTTTCCAAATATTTATTGGTGCTATTGGAATGTTACAAATGTATAGACTTTCAGACCTAAAGAAAATCTAAAACACATGCTCAGCCTTCATGGACACACACAAGTCCAAACATAGATGGATAGTTTCTGGCAACCTCTTCTGGATTTTTCTAATAAGGTTAAGATGTAGTAGATTTTGCTGGTTTTGTATATTTTTAGACTGGTATTTCATTTGATCATGGAGGAATAAAATTATATTCACACATAGACTGTATTTCAGTGTTTATTCATTATTATAGCCAATCTGAAGAAGAGTTCCTAAACAATTTACCAAGCAAATTGTTCATGTGATTAAGGGTTAGGGGAAAATACAATAACTGTTTTGGCCACCTGATGAATCTGTATTTGAAGTAATAGTAATAATAATAATAATAATAATAACAACAACAACTTTATTGTCACTTTGAAAGTACACCAATTGGCATACATCAAAATGAAATTTCGTTGTATACAGCTCTCAAAGGGTCACCGCCTCCGATATACACTCCTTGTTCATGGCCAGCTCAAGTTACAGATCTTCCATTTTAGACTCTAAGGGAGCAAACGATGGCAAACAGGACAGATGGAAATGGAGCTCCATGTGGATTATCCCTCGTGCCGCTGCGGCCTCTGACCCGACGTAGATCTCAACTAGCTCCTTGGTTCACCGAGGAGCTGAGAGAGATGAAACGCCGGAAAAGACGCCTAGAGAGCAGTTGGAGGGCTACCCGAACCGAATCCGACCGAACACAGGTAAGGATACATGTTAGATCCTACCTTGTGGCAATGAGAGTGGCGAGATCTAATTACTANCCTCTCCGCGCCTGGCCCGCCCTCCGCGGCATCGCGGCTCCGTTCGCCGCCCCGCCCAGCCAAACCTGGCGGTCCCGCGGTCCGTCACCTGTCCTCTTCGCTCGCCGACCCTCTCCTCTTACTCGTTCCTGGCCGGCGAGCACCCCCGGACCTTCTCCGACACCCCCATCTCCGCTGACGGCCCGCCGCCGCTACGGAGCAGGAGACGGTAGGTCCGCCATCACACGCATGCGCGCTCACACCCAGAATAACTTAAGTTGGAAGGGACCTTGGAAGTCTTCTAGTCCAACCCCCTGCTCAGGCAGGGGACCCTATGCCATTCCAAACAAATGGCTATCCAATTTCTTCTTCAACAGCTCCGGAAATTTCTCCTTAGTTCTAGGTTACTTCTCTCCTTGACGATTTCCATCCGTTGCTTCTTGTCCTGCCTTCAGGTGCTTTGGAGAATAGGTTGACTCCCTCTTCTTTGGGGCAACCCCTGAGATATTGGAAGACTGCTACAATGTCCCCCCTCATCCGTCTCTTCATTAAACTAGACATACCCAATTCTCGCAACTAGTCGTTGTTTCCGACAAGTAAAGTTAATGGGAAAGCCAGCAGGAAAGATCACCATGGTCAGGTGGTGTCTCACTTAATGACTGCCAATGATTTGCTTAATGACTGGCAAAAAGGTCATTAAATGAGGTGTGGTCACTTGATGCCTCATTTAACAACCGTGACAAATTTTCCAATCCCTATTGTGGTCGTAAAGTGAGGACTGGCTGAATGAGGAAGAGGAAATAGTACAGACAAGAGAAATAAAGATGGAGAATGTCCTACAAAGAACAGTTTAGCCTCAAGAAGAGAGAGCTAAGGGGAGACCTGATAGCAGTCTTCCAAAATTTAAGAGCTATCACAGAAAAGAGGGTATGGATTAATTCTCCATAGTCCCTGAGGGTAAGACAAGAACCAACAGACTGGAAATAAGGAGGAATGTCATAATTGTGGAAAGCTATTAAACAGTGGACAACCTGCCTCCTAAAGCTTCAGGGTCTCCATCACTAGAGGTTATCAAGAAAATAATGGACAGCTCTTTATCTCAGATCTAAAAATTCCTGTCCTGGGCAAAAAGTTATAGGGCAAGACTTTTAAGCTCCCTTCCAAAGATGTTCCATTTTTAAATGCTTAGACTTGTTTTGACTCCATTTATTTCCTTAAAAAAACAAATGGAAAGAGGAACCACTGATTGTAAAAGAATGGAATACATCATAGGTGGTGCCGTAGTGTTGTGGTACATGCTGTGGTGGTACCAGAGCTGTGGTGGCACAGTGGTTAGAATGCAGTATTGCAGGCTAATTCTGCCCACTTCCAGGAGTTCGATCCTGACTGGCTCAAGGTTGACTCAGCCTTCCACTCTTCTGAGGTCAATAAAATGAGGACCCAGATGGTTGGGGGCAAGATGCTAACTCTGTAAACCGCTAAGAGAGGGCAGTGAAGCATTGTGAAGCAGTATATAAGTCTAGGTCTAAGTGCTACATTGTGGTCCACAAGGTTTCTTAAACCTTCACCATACCAGAAGCCAGAAAAAAATGGGGCAGAGATTCGTGCTTACATTAATTTATTATATTAATATATTAATATAATAAATTAATATACTGCTCACAAAAATAAAGGGAACATTTTACCATGGAACTGAAGGAGTTGCGTTCCCTTTATTTTTGTGAGCAGTATATATTTATTTAAGTTAAATATTTAAATTTAGTATTTGGCGCAGTGGGGTTGTGCAGTGAGCCAGAACACATAGTGGTGGTTGATTGGTTGGAGAGGGCTGGCTCTCTCCTGCGTGAGGCAATCTGCCCTATGATTGGTTGGTGGAAGGGGAGTTTCCCTTTTTTCCCGCCTTTTTGTTCTGTGTCCTTTGTGATTTACCTCATGATGTGGTGATGCTCCTGTTTGCCTGACTATCTAGTTTGCTGTATATATTGATGTTAAGTATATTATTTATACAGTATAAAACTAAAAGTTTGTGTCAGTTTCTGACTCTACTTGGTCACCTGCTGCACAATTCCCTGACAATTTACAAGAATGACTAATGGAGTACATTTGTTCCACTTTTCCGTTTGATTTGTAATCTAGCCTTTTCTCTGTCTTTCTGTCCAAGCAGGTTTGGTGATGGAAGATTCCGCTGCTCAAGAGCTGTGCTGTGTCCCATCAAGAATTTCCAAAGATGAAGAGCAGGAAGAGATTGCTGGTGATCTCAAAGGATCAGTGAGACAGGAAGAGCAAAAGGCAGAGATTAGGAGGAATCTGTCTGACTTCCAGGCAGAAGATCCTTGTCAAAACCTAATCCAGAAACAGGAGAAAAAGAACAAAAATCCTTCAGGTAGAAGGACATTGATTTCTAAATTCAAACTCGACTTGCACCACAGAATTTATACAGAGGAGAAACTCTATCAATGTTCAGCATGGACCAAGAGCTCAAACTTTGTTTCACATCAAGAAATCCATCCAAGTGAGACATCAGATAATTGCTTGGAACATGGAAAGAACTTTCTTCAGACAGGTGATCTTTTGCCTTATCAAAGAATTTACGGAGAAGAGAAATTATTTAAATGTTCAGAGTGCGGAAGGCAGTTCAATCAGAGTGTCTCTCTGGCCCGACATCAGCAATTACACACGGAAGAAAGACCATACCGATGCTTGGAGTGTGGAAAGAGTTTCGGTAGGAACACTTCCCTTATTTCACATAGGAGAATTCACACTCGGGAAAAACTGTACAAGTGCTCTGAGTGCGGAAAGAGCTTTAGCCACACCGCGCTCTTAAGTCGGCATAAAAAAATCCACTCGGGAGAGAAGCCGTACTTGTGCTCGGAATGTCCCAAGACGTTCAACACGAGCGCCGGTCTTGTTTCTCATAAGAGAATTCACACGGGGGAAAAACCGTACGTGTGTTTTGAGTGTGGAAAATGCTTTCGGCAGAGGACGCACCTTACGACCCATCGAAGGACCCACACTGGGGAGAAGCCATACAAATGCTTTGAGTGCGGAAGGAGTTTCAGTCAGAGTTCGCACCTTACTTTGCACCAACGTACTCACACTGGAGAGAAACCTTACCGGTGCTTTATGTGCGAGAAGACTTTTAGCAATAGAACCTACCTTAATTGCCACGAAAGGACCCACACAGGGGAGAAACCCTACAAATGCCTGGAGTGTGGAAAGAGCTTCAGCCAGAGCACAAGCCTTAGCAGCCATAAAAAGATTCACCGGGGGGTGAAGCCGTACGCTTGTTTTGTCTGCCGAAAGAGCTATTCGTGTAAGAAAAACCTCACTTCTCATCAGAGTATCCATAGAGAGCGAAACCCTCTCAGTCCTTGGGGCGCAAAAGAGCTTTCGAAGAAATACACCTTTTGAATCCCATCAGTGTAAAATGATTTGGACGCTATAAACTTTGAAAGAGTTCAGAAACTGAAATGAAAAAGGGTCCTTTGAGCTGGGACATCCGGGCAGGGGGTCAAAAAAGTCAAGATGGGGATTGCAGACATGCTCAAAGCCCTGTTGCTTGGTCTGTGCATCGAATGCACCATATAATAGAATAACAGTGTTGAAAGGGAGTTTGGAGGTCTAGTGTAGTCCAACCCCCTGCTCAGGCAGGAAACCCTATACCACTTCAGATAAATCATTGTCTAATCTCTATTTAAAAACCTCCAGAACCCAAGTTGTTCCACTGATTAATTGTTCTAACTGTCAGGAAATTTCATCTTGGTTCTAGGTTGCTTCTCTCCTTGATGAGTTTCCATCTGCTGCTTCTTGTCCTGCTCTCAGATGCTTTGGAGAATGGCTTGACCCTTTCTTCTTTGGGGCAACCCCTGAGATATTGGAAGACTGCTATCATGTCACCCGTAGTCCTTTTCATTAAACTAGACATGCCCAATTCCTGCAACCGTTCTTCATATGTTTTGGCCTCCAGTTCCCTAATCATCTTGGTTGCTTTTCTCTGCACTCTTTCTATCATAGGCACAGCTGCCATCTTGGTTTTTTTTAAAACCCTTCTGCAAACACTCCTGTTTTGAGATTCACCTTTTAGAGATCAGAGACTGTTCCACTGATAACTTTATGTATCCTTGTAATAATTCACATATTAATAACTGAATGAAACACAAAATTTTAGAGTTCCCAAGTGTGTGAAGGGCTTTTGTTGGAAGAATAAACTTAATAAAATAACTCATGTGCCTCATGAATGTTCCCAGGGGGAGGTGGGGAGGGATGCTTACATTGTGATGTAGACTTTACAGTATTTAACAAATGCAAGAAGTATGAAAGCAATATATGATGGATGTAAAGAATGTGTGACAATAAAGGAACGTTTCAACACTAAACAGGAAGTGTGTTATGTATGTGTACACTTCTGAGAGCAGGCAACAGAATTTCATTTTTAATGTCTGCCAGTGTGCCCACGGTAAAAAAAAAAAAAAATGACAACAAAGGTTTTTATCTTATCCAGGCAACGCACACAGACGCATACTCCACCAGGGGGCAGCGTGGGAAGCTTCAGCATTGCAGTACTGGCAGTTCCTTAGCTTCAGAATGGAACTGAGCATGCCCATAACGTCTTGCCAGGGCTTGCTGCATTCAGATAGAGAAATTATCCAGAAGGGGGGCCGGAAGTGAAGTCACCATTGAGGGTCTGAGCTGTCTATAATGTGAGACCCTCCCTAAGGCCAAAGCATCTCCAAAATACTTTGGGAAGCTACTGTTATTTAGCAAGAAGAAGCACAATATCTATTTAGACAACCATTTGTCTGAAATGGTAGGGGGTTTCCTGCCTGAGCAGGGAATTGGACTAGAAGACCTCCAAGGTCTTCCGACTCTTGTTATTCTATTCTATTTTATTCTATTTTAGACCTGTTATTTCTCAAACCTGGCCACTTTTGAGATGTATGGACTTCAACTCCCAGCATCCCTCAACCATCAAGTTTAAGCTAAGGGATGCTGGGAGTTGAAGTCCGCCCGTCTGAAAGTTGCCAAGTTCTAGAAAAACCGATTGAGATGGATCTAAAGATTTTCTCCTCTTAGGAGGCTATTTTTTTTTTCTCTCCCTCCCATCATCTTTGCACCACCAACCCCGGCAAAACTCCTCCATTCCTCCTTTCTCCTGCAGGTGGCGCACTCTGTTAAAACCCTTGCAGGACTGCGGGCCGGTAAAACACGATAGGAAACCGCGCATGCGCCTGATAGCTTGGCTGACCCGTGCTTCTGTCTGCAGAATGCAGTTGTGTTTTTTTTTAAGGAAAAATTGGGTGGGGGGGGAGAACAGAGAAAGACAGGAAGTATTAGCGAGTGCATCAGCTGGAATCTTCCCCCCTCGGCTTCATTGCCCTCCCTTTCTTTCTTTTTTTTTACCCTCAACCTCCCCAAAGGCAAAGAGGGGGGGCTGCGGGAAGACCTTGCAAGGAACGGAGGATCACCGAGTGGTGCCCTTTTCCTCTGCAAAGAGAAGGGAGCCGCGGAGAGAGAGAGAGAGAGAGAGAAAAGCAAGGTAATTCCCTGTAGATTGCAAAGCTGTCTTGTTAAGGGGGGGCTGGGGGGTGGGTGGAGAGAGGACGGGGATTTCTCTTTCCCCCCCTTTCCCCCGTGCGATCCTTGCGCGACCGCTTTCCGTGCATTTGTGGGCTGCGAGGACGGCTCCCTTGCAAAACGGATCGAGTCCAACGAAGAAAAAAAAAAAGAATCCGTGGGAAGAGAGGCAAAGAAAGGGAGGACCAGATGGTGGGGAGGGAGGGAGGAGGAGCAGGAGCAAACAATGATGGTCCCAGTAGAGAGGCTGAATTGCAAACCTGGCCAGCATCCTCGCCTTTGCTCCGCGCTTTGCAAGCAGCTCCCAGCTTGGGATCCCGATTCGGACGTGCAGATGCAAGAGAGGGTAGCTCCCCGAGCCGGGAAGAGAGGCAAAGGGGGCTGTTTGCAAGGCAGAAGCCAGCTGCCAGCCCGTGACGGAGACCCAGCTGGAGAAGCTGGATGGATGGCTATGGAGATTCTCAAATTATCCAGGTCAGGGTTGTCCCAAAGGTGCTTTTTTTTTTTCCCCCAAGAGGCAACTGGACTTTCTTGTTTTCCTTTGAAGACGTTTCGCTTCTCATCCAAGAAGCTTTTCCAGCTCTGACTGGATGATTGGAAATGGAAGGATTTATATTCCTTGCAGACAGCTTCGTATAGGCTTCTCAGATTCCACGCACCAATTCGTAGTTTTGGGTTTATCGTGCTTCTGGCGGACCAGGAGATTCTTAGCACCCCTGCCCCATTTAAGGGGCGCCCGTACTCGGGGCCATTGTTAGGTTTGACCACCATTAACATGATTTTCCTGGGAAATAATAATAATAATAATAATAATAATAATAATAATAATAATAATAATAATAATAATAATAATAAAGTTGGAAGGGACCTTGGAGGTCATCTAGTCCAACCCCCTGCTCAGGCAGGAAACCCTATACCATTACAGACAAATAAAGGGAACATTTTAACATGGAACTGAAGGAGTTTGCGTTCCCTTTATTTTTTTTGAGCAGTATATATAGTGTAGTAGTCTTCCCTTTGCTTTCTACACCGCTGTGCACACGCTGTTCAAGTGGCTGCCACCACACCGTGTGCTGTTCTTCTGAATCCGTTCCAACCAATATGGTCTCCGCCTTCAGTCGATACTGGGGAGCCAGCTGCCACTCACCAGGCCTGTTGGTCCACGGGAGGTATTTGATTCCCTCCAACCCGCCATTACAGTATAAAGCCATAATGGGTAGGGGCCCCCAATCCGCCACCCGTGGATGCGCTCTGTGGGGGTTCCAGGCTTCCCCTAAGAGAGCTAATCATTTGCCTTCTTTTAGAGAGTCGTTGATGCCACCTGGAGGCTTACCATTGTGGGAAGTCAGCCCCCCAAAGAAGGAACTATTAAAAGGCAGGAAAGCATGCCCAGTTTTCTTGATAGCCCCAGGTCTCCCTCCCCCAAGCAGAAGCCAGCTCTGCTCCTGATGTAAACCATCAGGAAAGTTGGAGCTAGAAGCTTTGGAAGACAAAGACACCTAAAATCTGCATACCCCACCCAAACTCTAAGAGTCATTAGCCCCAGCACCAGGGAAGCAGGATATGACCTTTGGACATAATAAGATTGACCCATCACCATCAGAATACCAGAAAGGCCCACTCAGACTCAGGTCAAAGTTCATGCCACAGGAACAGGAACAACTCCACAAACAAAAGGCTTCAGAGGGTATAAAAACCCGCTCCCCCCATGTGCTCAGTCCTCTTTTTCTCTCCTCTTTCCTGCCAGACCCATCTTCCTGTCTGGCTCTTCAATAAACTGCAACCTTCTTTCTAAAGCAGTCGTCATGTTGTTTATCCCCGGCTTGGACTGGACCAGGATGATGACTTTTCTTCCAGCACCTGTGTCCTCAGGGTCACCTGAGCTGCGCAAATGGGTGTGGACCCTTCTTGGCTGCAGGATGTTTTCTGCCCTGACTGAAAACTAGTCCTTCTTTTCTCTAGACTAGCCAAACCCAAATCCTGCAACCTTTCTTCCTATGTTTTATCGGCTCCTTGGCTGTGATTTCACTACTAGGATTAGTCTTGTCTCTGGATGGCATATCTAGATTAGGGAATAAACCGGACATCAGTATGACCATGATGGCCAAAGGCTCTGCCTCGCCTTCCTTTTATTTATTTATTTATTTATTATTTATTAATTTAATTTATATCCCGCCCTTCTCCTTACGGACTCAGGGCGGCTAACAACCAGATAAAACACTAATCCCCAAAAACTACAAATTTAAAAACATAAGTAAAAACAAATATTAGTAATTTGGTCAAGTTAATTTAAAAATTGCTTTAAAACCCCATTAAAATTTTTTCCATTAAATACCCGAGTTGAAAGATCATCAAAAAGCAACAGTACAGATAATCCTCGACTTACATTCATTCGTTTAGTGGCTGCTCCAAGTTACAATGGCACTGGGGAAAAAATGACATATGACCGTTTTTCACACTGACGACTATGGGGATCCCGCAGTGGTCATCAGCATGAAAAATGGTCATAAGTCACTTTTTTTTCAGTGCCGTTGTAACTTTGAACGGTCACTAAATGGACTGTTGTAAGTTGAGGACTATATTACTGGATGAGGTGCTTCCAGTCTAGGCTAGAAGTTGTGACTTCCATTTCATAACCATAGACAGAGACTTACTCCTGGTTCGGCTCATGTGTTCCATTTCTGAGGTGATTCACC